CCTTTGACTTAACAGTCCAGTGAGGAGAGAGAAGGTAAATAGTTTACCATTCAATATTTCAACTACTATTCAGTACCTTCCATATGGCATTCACTTTAGTAGGTCCTGGAAATCAGCTAATAAGTAAACACACCCTCGCTCTCATGAAGCTTATTTTTTTTTTTTTAATTTTTTTTTCAACGTTTATTTATTTTTGGGACAGAGAGAGACAGAGCATGAACGGGGGAGGGGCAGAGAGAGAGGGAGACACAGAATCGGAAACAGGCTCCAGGCTCTGAGCCATCAGCCCAGAGCCTGACGCGGGGCTCGAACTCACGGACCGCGAGATTGTGACCTGGCTGAAGTTGGACGCTTAACCGACTGCGCCACCCAGGCGCCCCGAAGCTTATTTTTAATAGATAAGACAGTTAAAATAATTTCTGAAAAATGCCAGAAGTGTTATAATAGAGAAAATGCAAGGTGCCATGGATACATCTAACAAGCAGGAGACCCAACTTATTTTAAGAGATATGGGACAATAAGGAAAACTATATTATGACAAATGCTATATGGAAGTCCTCTTCTAGAATTAGGGGATCACAAGAGGAGAAAGTCAGGGAAGGCTTCCCATTGGTGGAAACACTTGAGTGGACTCTGATGGTGAAAAGGTAGATAAGTGGCAGTGGAGCAGAGAAAGTATTCCTGGCAGATGGACTGGTTTGTCGGATGTCAGGCAACACATCAAAGCATTTCACAGTCGCTGGATTTCAGTAGTTCTGTATCTTTGGGACGATGTGCGAAGCAAATGGAAATGGGCAGTCTCACGTGTAGGGAGAGCGATAGGAGCCTAGACTCCTCTGCACATCTGAAGGAATTGCTCTCACAAGCAGTTAAGACATGGTCCGAAGGCAATTGGGTGTCACTGAAGTGTTTCAAATAGAGAAGAAATTATGACCACATTTTAAATTTAATTTTTATTTATTTTTTAAAATATTTATGTTTGAGGGGGAGAGAGAGAGCAAGAGCAAGTGAGGAAGGGAGGGGCAGAGAGAGGAGGACAGAGGATCCAGAGCAGGCTCCGCATTGACAGCAGACAGCCCCATGCAGGACTCAAACTCACAAACTGCAAGATCACGACCTGAGCCGCAGCCAGACGCTAATCGACTGGGCCACCCAGGCGCCCCTCATCACATTTTTATTGTTAAAGATCATTCTTTTATTTCTGTGGAAAATAAACTGATGGGAGCAAGAGTGGAGACAGTGAGACAAACAGTTGCAGAGGCAAGAAATAATGAGAAGCTGAACCAACTTAGTTGTGGCAGAAATGGAGAGAAAGGGTCAGGTAGAAAAGATAGAAGTTCAAATTGACATGCCTTAGCTAGCAACTCAGTGGAGGGGTTAGGGGAGAGGGATTAAGTGAGTGCTTGGGTAAGTGGTAATGCGAGTCAGGGATTATGGGAGGAGAGAAGTCTGTCAACTTGGATTTCCCCCAACATGGAAACATCCTGTGTTTATAACATCAAATGTTAGCATCACTTCAAGAAACCTCAAAAATTCTTATGTGCACTTTTCTTCAGGCAGGCACAGTGATTGTATGCACTTACAGACCAGGTATTTGGATTCTCAGGATTTCATTGCTAAGTAGTGAGAAGAATTCAAGTCAGATCTCCTGTCTTGGTCTGGCATTCTGAGGGAAGTTAGCTGTCCTTAACTGATTGTCTTTATTTGCTAATAACTGATTGTCTTTATTTGCTAATATTTTTAGGAGCTGTAGGGGACAAGTTTCATAAATGGTTAAGTTGAAGCAAGCATATGGAATACTGTTATAATGTGTACAATAATATAAGGCTTTTGAAGAAAGAAGAAGAACCAAATCCTTCAGAAGAGAGTAGTTGTCATAGTAAAAGATGCTGTTTCTTGTGTTCTGTGATTGGTCTTTAGTGCCCTCTATTGACTGCTTAGTCTAAAACAATGTCTTGATTTTGGAAGACCATGTTCCTTGCAGTGTTATTTACCACAATAGGAAAAATCAGAGGTTTTAAAATCATGAGAAATGGTCATAAGAACTGATGGGAACTTAAAAAAAATTTACATGGGGTCTCAAAGTTGGGTAGAGGTCTTTAGAAACAACCGTTATAACATTTTGTTTGCTACAACATGGGTATGATACTGTGGGCTAGATTTTTCAGAAAACAGGCCTTTCTGATGATGAGTAGCCTAAATCGGGCTGGTTTTTAAGCATTTTTAATGCAGCGAAGCCTCAAGGACAGCAGTCGCCCCAGTAGGCAGTAGCAGCTGCTGTTTTTCCATAGGGCGGCTGCTGCGTGTGATGCCCCATGAAAGGAAATGACTGTTACTCATTAAAGCAACTTCATTCGGCTACATAGGAAATCACACAGTTAGAAAAGTCATCACAGAAAATGAAATAGTGATTATGCATAATGGGGCATCTTCAGAAATGGATGGCTTTTCTTTCTTTTTTTTTTTTTTTAAATGACAAAGACGCTGCCATTGGGTTCTCTCCTCCAGGAAAAGCAGTGGTAGATCGGACTTAGTCTTCAGAATAACTAGAGGTCTAAGCCTGAATAAATTTTAGTAAGGAAGCATACCTGGTGCTAGCTTGAGGTCTAAAGAAGACTGCGCTTTGTATAAATGAATGCTCACCACGACTTTTCTGTAATAAGGCAAATGTGTTAATCATTCTATTTCTATTATTTCCTGGTTAATCTTTCTTTCAAATGTTTCTGATTATCATTTCAGCTGGTTGCATTTTGAAAACCTGTTCACCCAGTTGAGGTTAAAAATAGTACTTTCTGATTTGGTGTTCTATGACTCTGCAAAGAGATTGCTCACGCCAACCTAGTGAAATCATTTATTTGCTTTTGGTATATTTTACTGTTGCATTTTTCCCTAAGAAAGTTTAGTAATTATTAAAATGAAGTAATGCTAGCTGCTTTCTGGGCATTTCATGAGAGGAATATGCTATTATGTAGTTTCCCTTCCCCCCTAATAAAAAAGCCTTTCATCATAAACTGACATCCTAAATGAAGGACATAATTGTACAGCTTATTTATTAGTGTGTCAGACTTAAAATGTAATGGTTTCATATTTCAGAATGAAAAGTGTGTTGTGATTCATGGTTGCTGGTGACAAAACAGACAGCTCTTTTATATCTGCACTGATTGCCTGCTGATATACCACTGTACTTTTTTTTTTTTTGTTCTTTTCTCTTCTCTTCCTATGCAATAGCTCCCTCTACTTGAAAATATTGGTGTAATTATAGTTTAGCACTATGTACTTTATTAGTGAGTACTCATGACTATTTTTACTTTCAGTCCTTTTCCTATGTATGAGGTGTTCTACATCAGGGCATGTTAGAAATTTACCAAGAGTATCTTGACCTTGGAGCAGAAGAGCAAGGTTAAGGAGAGTAATGACAGTTATGTTTGAAGGCATTTTTCAAGGAATTAGCTGTGTGGCTTTTGTTGATTTAAACATGATATATTTGGTTAAAATTCCATATAGTACTTGAAAATGAACTCTGATGTCGAAAGCACAGAGGTATGGAAAACTGGATCAGAACACTTCAAAAGAACCATCAGTCATATCAAACTGACAAAGCCTGGAACTTGGCAAATTCTCACTTTGCTGAGCCTTCTGATTCTAACACAAAACATGACAGTTTCTCTTGTATTTGTCGGGAAGGGTTCAACAGTAGTAGAATCTCATGTTACTACATCTTGACTTTATGGAATAATATGTGCATTATGAAACTGTAGGAACAAAATAGACAAAACAAGTGTCATGATTGGGATTTATTTTTTCTCTGTAGTACCATTATTTTAAAGTGGGGCAAGTGGCAGAGCCTGATGGTCTAGAGTAAGAACCTAGGAGCCAGACTGGCTGAGTTTGAATCCTAGCTCTGCTACTTACCACGTGGGTAATCTTGGCAAGTTTCCTGAACTTTCTGAGCCTTAGTTTCCTCATCTGTAAAAACAGAGACAAGTGTTAGTGTAAAGCACTTTGAATAGAGCCTGGCACATAGTAAGTGCTGTATATGAGTGTCCAATAAAATAAAAAAATAATGGACTATAAACTGGTTATTAACCAAATGTATTTATTGAATGTCAACATTATCTTTAGTGCTGCTTAATAAAAAGAAAAACGGGGCCTTCCCAGTAGATGGGAGAGCTTTTCACCTTGGTTTTGTTGGCAAAGTGACGCTCATTTTCTTACATCAGAATAGTTCTCACCTAGGGGTCCCTATATCATGTTATAGATTATAAATTATAATTATGTTATTTTTTTTTAACATTTATTTATTTTTGAGAGACAGGGAACACGCAGAGGAGGGGCAGAGAGAGAGGGAGACACAGAATCTGAATCAGGCTCCAGGTTCTGAGCTGTCAGCACAGAGCCCGATGTGGGGCTCGAACTCACAAGCTGTGAGACCATAACCTGGGCCGAAGTCGGATGCCTAACTGACTGAGCCACCCGGGCGCCCCATAATTATGTTATTTTCAAAATACTTTTGTCATGCAGTTGGATATTCCATGGATTCCGTGTCTGTTTTGAACTTCGTTGATTTAACAGGAGGATTTTATACTGGTGCAATACATAAAAATGAAGTACCATTTACCATAGTATACTTCTCTTAAAGCCTATTTATTGCCCAAGAGCAGACTTGTCTTTAGTCTATAATATGGACGCTTGAGGATGTCAGAGAATCTTACTCAACTGTCCATAGACTTGTGGTCCAACAAAATAGCAGTTTTCAAAAGTTTAAAGAAGAAATTTGTATGTATTGAACCCTCAGATATGTAACTGAAATTGTTAGGATTATGTTTCCACCTTGATAGAAGCTGATATTTGTGTGGATGTATAGAACGATATTTTAACAGAAGAATTTGGAAGACTATCACCAGAATGCTGGACACTTATAATAAATAGTCAAATGAGAATCATGAATACATGTATTTTCAGAAATGCACTCATTGTTTCTTCTTTACTTGATCCTTTAGGACCCTTTGGATCCCACACGATCAGTGATTGTGATCCGTTCCCTGGTGGCAGATGGTGTTGCAGAAAGAGCAGGAGAACTCTTACCTGGAGACCGCCTGGTTTCAGTCAACGAATACTCTTTGGAGAACACCACACTTGCTGAAGCCGTGGAAGTGTTGAAAGCCGTACCACCAGGCATTGTACGCCTTGGCATCTGTAAGCCCTTGGTGGTGAGTGTTCAATTGTGTTACTATAGGAAGTGATAATAGTGTAATAGTTGAGAACATGGATTTGGAGACAGATGCACCTGCTTTCAAATCCCTGTTCCACTGCTTACTCTCTGTGTATCCTAGGACAAATTTCTTATGTCCTTGACTTAAAAAATTAGCAACATAACGTCTACCTCGTAAGATTTGGGGGGACTAAAGATTATGTTCATTAAGTGCTTAGCACATTACATAAATAGTAGCTGCTAACGTTACTAGTCCTCCTACCACTTTTACTATTATTTTTAGCTTCATGCTTTTAGCACAGATCTGTAAGTTCTCATCACATTCCTTATGATATAAATTAAAATCTGTGCATTTTAACTTTCACTTGGGAATGATGTTGAGATGTCATGGTAAGTTGAAATCCAAGTAACTATATCGTTTTAACATACAGATTTGAGATTTTAATCCACTTTTCTGCCCATCAAAGTGCCTCATAACCCCTAGGATCTAGAAGTCTATGTGGCCAAGTCATCTTTAAGTGCTCTTTCTGCGTAATCTTCTTTTTGGGTGGCGGGCATATGGAGCCCAACATGGGGCTTGAACTCACGATCCTGAGATCAAGACTTGAGCTGAGATCAAGAGTTGGATGCTTAACCAACTGAGTCACCCACGCACCCCTTTCTGTTTAATCTTTTATTTATGTTTATTTTTATTTTGAGAGAGAGACAGACAGAGACAGTGTGTGAGTGGGGGAGGGGTAGAGAGAGAGGGAGACACAGAGTCTGAAGCAACCTCCAGGCTCCGAGCTGTCAGCACAGAGCCCGATGTGGGCTTGAACTCCACAAGCCGCAAGATCATGACCTGAGCTGAAGTTGGATGCTCAACCAATTGAGCCACGCAGGCACCCCACTTACTGTTTAATCTTTTGTATGGGGTCAGATTAGTGTTTATGACTGAGGGCCACATTACACTTAGGGTGCTTTTGAGGTTCCCCAATTAACAAAATACTTCAAGATAATTTTCAAGCAGTATGAAAATATTATTGAGTGCTTACCATATGTCAATATATTAAACGCTTTATATGCATTAACTAATTTAATGCTCTTGGCAACTTGAAGAGGTAGTTCTTATTACCCTCATTAGAGATGAGCCTATCAAGACACAGAGAATTGAGCATCTTATCCATAGTGATCTAACTAGTAAGAGACAGAGTATAAACTCAGCAAGGTGGCCTCAGACCCTGCACTGTTAGCCACAGTGCTATATATTTAACTTGTTGCTACCTTGGTTTGCATAGCTTGTCTGAAACAGACAGATGGTCTTCATAGAGTGCCAGGACTGGATTTTAAAAAACCTGGACTCTGTTTCTAGCTTTCTTATGAGTTAGCCTAGTGGGTTTCAACTCAAAGATATGTAATATACTTAATCACCTGGGAGGTGGTTAAAATGCAGTTTTCCAGGTCCTACCCTCAGAGATTTTCATCTAGTCATTGTGATGGCTATTTAGGGATCTGCCTTTTCAGTGAATCACCCATGTAATTCTGACGCCGAATTTCACACTTGGAGAAATATCATACTAGGAATTTGATGATAGGTACACCACTCTTCTTCCCTGAGCCTATTTTTTCATTTCTGAAAAGACTGAACAATCCTAGAGAACTCCTAATATCTTTAAGAACTGCATCAATATACTACATGAGTATGTTAACATACTACATGTGTCCATAAGTATAGGTAGACGCAGATATGTTCATATATAGATATAGATTCCTGTATTTATGTACTGGGGAAACTCATGGCCTTCATGAATTTCCCATAAAGATGCTGGTATATTATACTATCCAGCACTCTAAATATTTCAAAATGGAGTATAGCACACAGCTAATCAAGTTCTCGACTTTGTATTGCATATTTGCTGTTTGACTGTTGCCGTAGCCAACACCATGAGATGCCTGGTTTGATCTCTGGACAAATTAAGTTGGTGGGGGGGAGGAGTGTGATATTGTTATATGGGCTCTCATCTTCTTGGTATTCGCATTGTGGGGGGGAATTTCATATAGATTTTACCCGATGATTATTTGCCTAGTTGTTTGGGCTGCCAGAGGAATTCCCAAACTATTTATGTCCTGGAGGACTTGGACGGCATGACTTTACTGTGAAGCAGTTTAAGGGAAGTGTCAGGTAGTGTAAAAAAGAGAACTTAGTTACCAGTTGGGTGTGGATTCCTGTGCTGCTCCTGGCAGAGGTAGGGCTGCAGAGATTTCAGGATATCAGAGCCACATTCTGATAGGGTTTTGGAATGTAGTAATTGTGAGGTAGACCTTTGCCTAGGCTTTTCCCGGTGAGTAGAAGTCTTCCAGGATACCTGGGAGCGGGAAGCCACAAAAGGGATGAGGAGAAAGGTCACTTTCAGGATGGTAAAAAATTCTTAGTGGAACGACCATTGATTCCTTCTTTAACATCTGGGCACTTTTAGCAAAACTGTTTGCTCACGAGCTGTAAATAGTGATGTGTGGATCTTCTCTGAGGTCTCTTTCTCTCTTGTCCACTTGGTGGTCACTTACCTGATCACATAAAGTTTACTGAGCTTTCAACTCAGTCCTCGCAGAAGTGGGGTAGAGAGTGTGAAGAAGGTGGCCCAAAGTCAGCTTGGGGCAGAAAGACTATGAATATATAAAAGTTAAGAGAACGTGACTTTTTTTTATTAAGTCATATATAGATATACATTATACAAATATAACATATTTATATATTTTCATGTTAACTGTGAATGGGGCTTATCTTTTCATTTTTTTAACGTTATTTATTTAAAAAAATTTTTTTTAATGTTTGTTTATTTTTGAGAGAGACAGAGCGTGAGCGGGGACAGGGCAGAAACAGAGGGAGACACAGAATCCAAAGCAGGCTCCAGGCTCTGAGGTGTCAACACAGAGCCCAACGTGGGGCTTGAACCCACAAGCCGTGAGATCATGACCTGAGCTGGTCATATGCTTAACCGACTGAGCCACCCAGGCTCCCCTAACATTTATTTTTGAGAGAGAGACAGAGCGCAAGCAGGGGAGGGGCAGAGAGAGAGGGAGACAGAATCTGAAGCAGGCTCCAGGCTCTGAGCTGTTAGCACAGAGCCTGATGTGGGCTTGAACTCACAAACCGTGAGATTATGACCCAGAGCTTAACTGACTGAGCCACTCAGGTGCCCCCTGATACATTTCTTAATATTAAGGTCCTTTTTTTAGTAAGGACCTTACTTACTAGTAAGTGATGTAGTAAGTGATGTTTTTAATTTAAGAAATACTTTTTTTTCCCCTGTAAACATAGTATGTCTCTTTATTTAATCAGATCTTCTTTTACAGTTTTCTCCTTAAATGTTCTGTGCAATGTTTTTCAAATTTAATTCTGAGATAATTTACTGAGTTTTCCCCCTTTGTGAATGATGTCTTGTTTTCTATTACATTTTTATTAAATTAGCTACTGCTGAAGTGACGGTAATGATACTGACTTGGTAATTTGATCTTCTGACAACCTTGTGAAACTTCCGTTTGTTACTCTGTTGAATTTTCCCTCTTTAAAAAAATTATCATTTCGGAGGCACCTGGGTGGCTCAGTTGGTTGAGCGTCCGACTTTGGCTCAGGTCATGATCTCACTGTTCGTGATTTTGAGCCCCACGTCGGGCTCACTGCTGTCAGCACAGAGCCCACTTCCCTGTCCACCTCTCTCTGCCGCTCCTCCGCTCATGCTCTCACTCTCAAAAATAAATAACCATTAAACTTTTTTTTTTTTTAATTTTTTTTCTCATGGTGAGTGCACCCTTAATCCCCTTCACCTATCCACCTCCCCTACCACCCCCGGCAACCATCAGTTTGTTTTCTATAGTTAAGAGTCTGTTTCTTGGTTTGTCTGTCTGTCTGTCTGTCTGTCTCTCTCTCTCTCTTTTTCCCTTTGCTCGTTTGTTTCTTACATTCCATCTCACTCATAAGAGTGAGATCATATGGTGTCTTTTCTCTGACTTATTTTGCTTAGCATTGTACTCTCTAGCTCTGTCCATGTTGTTGCAAATGGCAAGATTTCATTCTTTTTAAATGGCTGAGTAATATTCCATTGTCCATATATACCACATCTTCTTTATCCATTCATCTATCGATGGACACTTGGGCTGCTTCCATAATTTGGCTATTGTAAATAATGCTGCAATAAACATAAGAGTGCATATATCTTTGCAAACTAGTGTTTTCATATTTTTTGAATAAATGCCCAGTAGTGAAATTACTAGATCATGTGATATTTCTTTTTAACTTTTTGAGGAACCTCCATACTGTTTTCCACAGTGGCTACCCCAGTCCACATTCCCACCAACAGTGCACAAGGGTTCTTTTTTTCCACATCCTTGCCAACACTTGTTGTTCCTTGTGTTTTTGATTTTAGCCCTTCTGACAGGTATGAGGTGATATTTCTTTGTAGTTTTGATTTGCATATCTCTGATGATGCATGATGTTGAGCATCATTTCATATGTCTGTTGGCCATCTGGAAGTCTTCTTTATAGAAATGTCTGTTCTGCCCATTTTTTAATTGGATTATTTGATTTTTGAGTATTGAGTTGTATCAATTCTTTATGTATTTTGTATACTAACCCTTTATCAGATATGTCATTTGCAAATATCTTTTCCCATTCTGTAGGTGGCTTTTAGTTTTGTTGATTGTTTCTTTTGCTGTGCAGAAACTTTATTTTGATGTCCCAATGGTTTATTTTTGCTTTTATTTCCCTTGCCTCAAGAGACCTATAGAAAAATATTGCTATGACTGATGTCACAGGCAGAGAAATTACTGCCTGTACTCTCTTTAAGGATTTTTATGGTTTCAGGTCTCATGCTTAGGACTTTAATCCATTTTGAGTTTAATGAAAGAAAGCAGTCAAGTTTCATTCTTTTGTATGTAGTGTAGGGAATACTTAAAAAGAAAACAAAAATTTGAGAAGCTTTGACCTGAATATGGTTTTCTGTTTAATTATTAAAGTTCGTTCTAATGACATAATTTGCACAAAGTTTATTGTGTCCTTGCATTTAATGGAAAGATGAGAATTAATCTGAAGAGAGTTCAAAACTAAGGTATTTTCTTGGTTATGAAAGTGCTTCTTTAGTTGCCAGAGGTGAGGAGTGGTGGGCAAGATGGGTGAAGGTGGTCAAAAGATACAAACTTCCAGTTATAAATAAGTCTTGTGGATGTAATACACAGCATAGTGACTACAGTTAATAATACCATATTGTATATTTGAAAGTTGCAGATGTAACTAAACTTATTGTGATAATCATTTTGCAAAATATACATATATTGAATTATTATGTTGTACATCTAATGGATACAGTGTTTAATGTCATATGTCAATAAAAAATAGCTTCAGAGTTGGCAAAAGCATGTCTTCAATTGTGCATAAAAAAACAAAAAAAAATTGCTTCTATTTTCAGGAAGATGATAAAGAGGGAGAAAGTCATTATATTTTACATTCAAACAGAAATGAAGACAAGACTGAACTTTCAGAAACAATTCATGATATAAATTCATCTTTAATACTCGAAGCACCCCAGGTATTTAGTAAATTGATTTCCTATTTGAATGGTTTATTGTGAGCTAACATTGCTATAAAAACGAAGACAAAAGCTTGTTCTCACTCTCTAGGCTAAAGAGATTCAAATTAAATGATCCTCCTCTCTTTTTAATTTTTTTAAGATGAAATGGTTTCCCTCTTGTATGACGTTGGCTTCATAAATAACATAGGCCAGATATGAGTCATTTTCAAAGCACAAACATATCTGATTTTGTATCGCTAATATACTCTTAAATTTTTGAGGGTAGAACATATGTTTGAAAATAGACCTGCATTTAAAATGCTGTAGAAAACAGAGCTATTCCAAAGGACTTCTCATTCAATACTTTCTAAAGAAAAGTTATTTAGTCAAAACCATCATTATGCTTTAATTTTAGGAAGTATATTTTGAAGCTTTTCCTTTTTTATTCTTAAAATGAATTGTGCTTATTTTGCTCTTTGCAGGTAGAGAATGGTGTATGGTTTTGCTTTACTTGATAGCAACCATCTGGTGATATTTTTTGCATAATTTATTGACAGTGTCTCAAACTGATGTTTATTTCTTTACATATTTTTTTAATGTTTATTTTTGAGGTGGGGGAGGGGCAGAGAGAAAGGGAGACAGAGAATGTGAAGCAGGCTCTAGGCTCCAAGCTGCCAGCACAGAGGCCAACGTGGGGCTCGAACCCACAAACTGCAAGATCATGACCTAAGCCAAAGTCGGAGACACTTAACCGACTGAACCACCCAGGTGCCCCTGATGTTTATTTCTATACTGTACATTGTGGGTTTTTTAGTGTCAACATTTTTTGTTAAAATTTCATAAGTATATGACTTCTTTAAATATACCCTGTAAATACACCTTTAAAAAAATTAACTAGGTTGCTGTATTTGATACGCTATAATAATATAAAGGTGGGAAGTAGTGATTCATTCCATGAATTTACATTTGGTAATATTTAATGAATAGGTCTCCAAATAGGAAATGTCACTGATCTCTCAGGAGGAATTGGGCCTCATTGTGGTCAGCACTCTGAGGATCCTCCAGGGTTAGGTTAGAGACTCAGCAAACCCATACATTTCTCAGGCATTACCTGGGAATTCAACAAAGTTTCTGCACATATGTGACTATTTAGTTTCAGTTGCATGTACTTGATCTTCTAATTAGTAAAATATAAATTAATTAGAAAGCATTCTGTATTCATTCCTTTTTACCATGTAATTTCAGTACAGATGAAAAAATTACATGTCTGTTACATAGGCATATTATAAAATAGTCATACTCAAAGTAGTTGAGACCTACTTCCCATATCTTTAGTTTATGGAGAATGCTTTTTGATAATTTCAATAGCCATAATTTAATTTGAATTAGCTAAGCTTGAAAATCCTGACTTTTTAAGTTTTTTGCTTTCTTAGGGAATAGAATGATGTGTTATCTATATTTATGTACTACTTTTCTCTGAGATGCATGAGTTAAATATTCATGTAGCAGTTAACAAAATTCTTATTTCTGATTGAGAAGTTTCAGGTGGTTAATGTGTAACGAACCTTTTAGGATAGTCATTCACCTTGCCAGTGGCAGATTTCTGCCTCTTAACTGTTTGTCCCTTTCCTGCTTTGAGGGTTGTGTGGGAGTGAGCATTTATTTCTCCTCCTTTGTGATGGAGAGCCGTTCAAGTTAGCTGTGGCTGGGCATGGAATGTAGTCACTGTGGTTCTGCCACGGGTTAACCTTCCAGTTAATGTATAGAGTGCCGCTTTAAAGGAGGGGGAATTCAAATTATTTTGCAACTTTTATTTACAGGGATTTAGAGATGAACCCTATTATCAAGAGGAACTTGTAGATGAGCCGTTCCTAGATTTGGGGAAGACTTTCCAGTCCCAACAAAAAGAGATAGACAACAGCAAGGAGGCCTGGGAGATGCGTGAATTTCTGACTCCCAGGTTGCAAGAGATGGGGGAAGAAAGAGAGATGCTTGTGGATGAAGAATATGAGCTGTATCAAGATCGCTTTCAGTCCATGGACTTGTATGCCTCTTCGCACCTTCAGGAGGCTGCTCCTGTTCCCTCCGTGAAGGAACTTCATTTTGGCACACAGTGGTTACATGACAGTGAACCACCTGAGCTTCAAGAAGCAAGGTCCATGATGAGTATCTATTCCCAGGAAACACAGCAGTATGGCTACAGCGCTGAAAACATGGTAAGGGTTGAGAACAGATCTTCCACATCCCCCCATTCTGTTCCCCTCCCTCCCTATCCCTGTTGCTAAGTCCTGTGCATTTAAAAAAAAAAAATGTAATGGAAAAGGTAATTTTTGTAATTAATCATTTTTCCAAGATACACCGTACTGTGTATTATTGTAAGTATAAACTCATCTTTTCTGTATTACATAACTTCTAGTGAGAGTCAATAGGCTGCAGTTGCCTTTTATAGTGGTTTATAGTGGTTTTTGCCTTGATTTTTTTTAGTGATTTATTTCTCTAGATTATCCACTTCAAAAAAGAGCTATTTGGCCATTTGTGATTTTTTATCTCTCAGAGAAACACAGCGTTGTATTTCTCACATAGTATTTATCAGGGAAAAATCAAGGCAAAATTAATTAAAGATCTCTTGTTTATGTCTTGCTTACCCACACTGTTCTGTGTTATGTATCATACTAAATAGAAGGTCACTGAATTCTAAAAAATTATCTTTACATTTGTGATACTACCTGTTTTCAACTTGATAGGAAAGCATTATATTTCAATAGGTTTGCCTTTGCTATTAGATAACCAATAAACTTTATTTTTATAAAATTAGAGTTAACTGGTCACCAATTGGAATCTTTCATTAGGGACATTTTTTAATGTTTTGGTTTGTTTGTTCATTTCATGCTGAAGATTAATTTCCAGGTGAATGAAAAGAAACTTATTATATAGGGATATTTAAAAGGCCACTTAGCAATATGTTTAGGTACAGTGCACTGTTCCCCTCATGGAGGTCAGCCACTTTCTTGCAGTGCTGTGGGGAGTGGGGCTTTCTTTCTTTGCTGGTCCCATTCCTATACCGCTAAGTACTTGAACTCAAACAGAATATCCAGTTATGTGGAACAAATTCTAATCACAGATTAGTGAATGTTCACAAATAGTCACTTGTGGCTTTATTCTATAAGGAAAATTTTCTGTTTACCCAAATACAAGGCAACCTGAAAAAGAGGCCCATTTTTATGTATACATTTTTAGGGTTCTAGATGAAATAGTCAAAGCTACATTCACAATATTTACATCATAAATTTAAACATTCACATTTTAAACACTGTCAAATGTTAATTTTTTTTGCTTATTCTTACATTTAATGGCAATTTTATTTGGATTCTTTCAACACATATTGAATGTCCGTATTTCCATTACCACTAGAATCACTTTTTGGTCATTTAACACAGCTTTCTGGATATACCATCTTAATTTTCATCTAAGTTGTTTGAGATACAGTCGTTTTTTTTTAAAGTTTATTTTATGATTTTGAGAGAGGGAGTGCAAATGGGGGAGGGGCAGAGAGAGAGAATCCCAAGCAGCCTCCATACTGCCAGCACAGAGCCTGATGTGGGCTCCATCTCACTATCTGTCAGATCACGACCTGTGCTGGCTGAAGCCAAGAGGATGCTTAGCAGACTGAGCCACCCAGGCACCCCAAGATACAGTAATTTTTGAATCCATACTATCAGTCAAAATTTTATCCTGATCTCAACTACTCATTTGCAAGGCAGTAGGCTTTAAAAGAATTCCATTCGTAAGCACATAGCAATGATCTTCACAATACAACCACTTACTCTGTTGTTTGTTAAATTACTATTTGAAACGCTGGTTTATAACAACATTCAATGCTCACATTTTGAAAAACATACATTCTAATTACTGAATCTCTGTTAAATTTCCTAGCTTCCTTCTTTTTATTTTCCATTTCTGATTCTGTGAGGTGACCTCTGTAAACCCTCTAAAGTGGCATTGATTAAAATTGTTTCAGACCTAATGTGTCTAGTCTGCACAAAATTTTATTTTCTTTAAATAATTATATGTTCTTGTTTTGGGCATTAACTCTTTTCCTCCCTTTCTGGACTCCACAATGATGACAGTGTAGGGGAGGGACAATTTTTTTTCCTCTAACCTCATTGGTTTTGTGGCTGGGCTGTGGAAATTAAGCTGATGAAAGATTGGCAAAAGGAAAACAATTTATTAACAAGTGTGGCATGCACACAAGCAGAAGAAACTCAGTGATGAATAACTCAAAGGGGTGCTTAGAACTTGGGCTTACGTGGCATTTTAACAAAGAACAATATATTTCTAGAGAAGTAACAAGACAAAGGAAAAGGAGTTTAGGTTTTAGGGTCAGAGCTGTAGGAAGGTAAATATAAGGGGGAAATTGATGGAAGATAAGGGCTGTTTTGTTATGTATGTTTCTCTTGGTGCCATCTCTTAGAACAAAATCTAGTGTCCTCTCTAGTGATCAAGAATCAGGGGAAGATAGCTTTTCTGTGTGTGCTGTTTCTCACTTGTCTTCCTCTCAAAATAATCCTTATGCCAAAGTGGCATGTTTTTGATAGAATATTCTGATTCTTTATAACAGTTACACACATAAGATCAGGATGGGCTTGAATCTTTATTTACCCTCCTCTCAGAAATATACTCCTGTGATAAAAATTTATCATCTAATATTACAATCCCTGGGTAGATTGTTAAAACATTTGAATATTTTATAAATATATAATTCTCAATACTCTTGTTTAGAGAGTGCCCTCCAGAAGGGTAGAGGAACATTATCATTTCTGTCTTTATTGTAACATCCATTTTGGGGTACAGACGTAACTATATTTGTAGTACCTGCTACTTAACTTTACCTTTCTCTATCACTCATTTCTGCATTTTAATTGAAGGGTAAAACCATCAAGATTTACAGATCTGGTTTTTTATTTTTAGTTGTAGTAAAATATACATCCTAGTAGTCCCTGTGGTTTCCCTTTCACAGTACCGTTACCTGCGGTCACCTGAGGTCTGAAAACAGATGATCCTCCTTCCAACAGTGTCAGAAGGTCACTAGTAGCCTAACATGTGCCTACACCATTCACCTCGCTATTTGTCACTTAGGCATTTTATCATCTCACATCATCATCATAAAAAGAAAGGTGACTACAGTACAGTAAGATATTTTGAGAGAGAAAGACCACATTTACATAACTCTTATTGGAATATATTCTATTTATTAGTTATTGTTAATCTCTTACTGTGCCTGATTTATAAATTAAACTTTTATCATAGGTATGCATGTATATGAAAAAACAGTATATACAGGGTACAGTATACAGGGTATAGTAAGAATTTGACTCAGTATCTCATATAAGTGGAATCATACAATATTTGTCCTCTTGTGTGGGGCTTATTTCATTTAGCATAATGCCTTCCAGTTTCATCCACATCATATGTGTTGGAATTTTCTCCCTTTGTAAGGCTGAATAACATTCCATTGTATGTATATACCACAATTTGTTTACTTCTTCATCACTTGATCAACATCTGGGTTTCTACCTAAGGCTATTGCGAATAATACTGCTGCAAACACTGGTATACAGTATCTGTTCAAATAACTGTTTTAAATTTTTTTGGGTATTTCCCCAGATGCAACATTGCATATGGCAATTCATGTGGTAATTCTGTGTTTAATTTTTTGGGGTGTCACCATCCTGTTTTCCACAGTAGCTGTATCATTTTACGTTCCCACCAGCAGTGCACAAATTTTCCAGTTTTTCCACATGCCTGCCAATACCTGTTTTCTGTTTGTTTGTTTTTTTAACATTTTATTTATTTTTGAGACAGGGAGAGACAGAGCATGAACAGGGGAGGGTCAGAGAGAGGGAGACACAGAATCTGAACAGACTCCAGGCTCCGAGCTGTCAGCACAGAGCCCAACGCGGGGCTCGAACTCATGGACCACGAGATCATGACCTGAGCCAAAGTCGGCCGCTTAACCGACTGAGCCACCCAGGCGCCCCAGTTTTTGTTTTCTTAAATAGGTCCCAAGTAGTATCTTATTGTGTGTGTGGTTTTTTTTTAATTTTTTTTAATGTTTATTTATATTTGAGTGAGAGAGATAGTGCACAAGCAGGGGAGGAGCAGGGAGAGAGACAGAGACAGAATATGAAGCAGGCTCCAGGCTCTGAG